GCCGGCGCATTAGGTCGAGCTACTGCTTGCTCGGCAAACAGGTCGTGGACGCAGCGCTCGACTGCCGCCGGCACCTCGCCGTTCCACTCCCATAGTTGACTAACATCTTGATCCGCCAATAATGTCAAGTCGGATATGCGTGAATCTGGTCTAGTGATTAACTCTTTGATTGCTTTCCCAAAGACCCCAGCTACACGCGCTGCTTGCCCTGGGCTCATACAGCTAGTCCGAAATTGCATCCCGACAGCCAACGACATACTATCATAGGCAGCGCCGATAACGATATCGTACTAGAAAAAAAAGTCTTAGTTGAGACACACAGAAGTCACAATGCTCTACAACTTACCTCTGTCGGGTCCAGACCCTCTTGTTCATGGAAGATAATGCTGCCTGCTCCATCTTCCTGCACAGCAACAGCCCGTTGGAGAGACAAGGCAGTGTTGAACAGGGGGGAGGTCCCCAGCTGCAGAGCACTATGCACATTTGCGAGGGGGAACGTTTGGTGTGGAAGGCTGTTCGAGTAGTCCTCCTGTACAGACCTCAGTGCACTTAGCACAGTCTGCTGTTCGCTGATCGCTAGCCGACAGACGAGCATGTTGATCATTGGACAGACGATCTCTTGGACTTTCTCGATCGGCAGATCGCGTCCTGATGAGAGAGTGCCAAAGCACGGAGCTTTAGATCCTGTGTAAGCAGCAAGCACCAAGGCCCACGCAGTCTGTATGATGGTAGCGGGCGTGAGCTCCCACTGTTGGCAGAACGCGTGGATGTCGTTCATATCGAGCCCTTGTACCTGCACATGCCCGTCTCTGCAAGTTCCGCCCTCCCCGTCTGCCATTGAGGGGAAGTAACACGGCTCGATGCCACGTAAGTACCCGACCCAGTACTGGAATGCGCTCTCCTGCGGCTGCTGCACTAGATAAGACACAACATCTCGGAACGAGGCGCCGTGCGGGCCAAGATCAGCGCTGTAGGCTGACTGCAGATCGCGCAAAAGCACTCCCTTCGCATGACCGTCAAAGATAGCATGGTTGATGTCAAGGCAGAGGTACACCCGACCGTTCTCGAGCTGGCAGATGGAGAGGTGGTGCTGCAGCTCGCTTGCCTGTTGAGGGCCAGGAATGTGGCGCGCGCGGAACAACTCAATCGTCGCCGTACTTTCTGCCGCGCGGTAGAACGAGATGGCCGGCTCTGGATTCCTCAGCACAATATTGGTGGTTCCTGAGCTCCCGGGGACGTTGTCCACTAGAAGCGTCCGTAGCAGCGAGTGTCGCTTGACTACAGCCCTCCAAGCCTGCTGTAATCGAGAGCAATCAACGTCTGTGTCTTGCAAAGATACAGCTTCAAACATCAAGCAGGTGCGATAGGCGTTTGCGTCTTTGCTCTGACTGATGAGTATGCCTTGCTGCATTGGAGAGCAAGGATAGACGTCTTCGACGTCTTCTGGTCGGATGTGCAGCCCAGGCAGCGTATGGTTGCAGAAGTAGTCGAGGTCTTGGTACGACGTGAAGGCGAGCGGAAGGTCGCTCAGCGTCCATTCGGGGCTGCGGCCCTGGAGGAGAGACGGCATACCTAACAATGTGGTCTTGTATTGCCGGACCCAGTCTCCGATGCGATCCTGGTATCTTACAGTACTGTCGCTCACAACAGTGACGTGCGCGCAACCGTTCTCGATGTGGCAGGAGACCTCAAACAAAGAGAACCGCGGTGTTGCTGCCATCGATGTGGGGTCACATGCTCCAGGGACAGCGCCTTGCTTCAAGAGGGATTCCTTGCGTTCGAGCTGCTGGTAGACGCCTGAGTAGTTGAACATCACCTCTACAGGGTATATGGACTTGAAAGTGTCAGCACAGCGCTGGTCTGCAAATTGAGATGCAAAGTACAGCCAACCGCTGTGCTTGAACGCGCGAGCGCAGTCTTTGGTTTGGCAGATGGTATGGAGCAGGCTGTCTTCCCGACTGCGCGAAGCCTGCACAGGATACATGCTTGTAAACCATCCCACAGTTCGCATCAGGTCGATGCTGTCATCCCACACTTCGCGCCCGTGGGTCTCGGTAAAGATTGTGGGCGGACTTCGATCGGGAAAGGCGAGAGCGAAAGAGTGGGCCAGAGCAGCTATCATGAGCTCAAAAGGACGTGTTTCATACGCCTCGTTGCAGTCTCCAAGGAGAGCAGAGGTCGTCCAGCTGTCCAATGTAAACTGCTGAGTGACCGTGTTGCCATATATGACAGTATCGGGATGTGCGTCCCAGTAGGACAGCTGATTCTTGTGTTCCTCAGCGTGTGATGCGCTATCAGGGTCCACATGCTTCGTGATGTACTCGGTTTGGGCCATGACCCAGGTTGGGAAGCTAAGTGAGGATACTGGAGGAAGCGCTCGATTCAACAACAACTCCTCCAGCTCTTCCAGAAGCACGCGCCATGAGACCAGGTCAATCACCAGGTGGTGAGCCACAGTGAACAGAGACTGCTGGCCGCCCTCGTCGCACAGCACGGCTGCCAGAACGGGCCCATTCTCGATGTCCAAAGAGCTGCGACAGTCGGCAATTGCCTGTGTGATCACCTCAGGGTCACTGGACTGGACATACTGCACAGCAAAAGACGCATCGACACAGTCTGAGATGTACTGTTGCCACGCGCCGCCGTTCGGTCTGCAGAACCGAGCTCTCAACATAGAGTGCCGGTCGACAAGGGTGCAGAAAGCCGAGTGCAGCAGCTCTTTCTGTGTCGGGTCGCTGAGGCGCAAGAAGAAGTACTGGTCGAAGCAGGCTTTGCCGGTGCTTTCGAGTGAGAGATACAGCTCCTGGATTGGCGAGAGGTTGAACGGTGTGTCAGTAACGTCTCTGGTGGCTGTCGGCAAAGTGAGAGGCTCTTCCGCGTCGACATTGCGGGCAAGCTGCCGGATAGTCTTCTTCAGAAAGACGTCGCGTGTAGAGAGGCGGATGTGAAGCCGACGAGCGCTTACAGACAGCTGCATGGCTGTGATCGAGTCGCCACCCAGGCGGAAGAAGCTATCGTCAAGGCCAATTCTGCCGGGCTTGATGTTCAGCACCCGCGCCCACAGTTGCTGCATCGTCCGCTCCGCCTCCGTCGACGGCGCTTGCTTGGCGCCTCCGCCCTCGCTCGCCGTCCGCAGCTCCGCCAGCTGCTGCGCCGAGAACAGCGCGCCGATCTCCCGCAGCCGCCGCCGGTCCGTCTTGCCAGACGTCGTCGTCGGCAATTCGTCGATTGCAAAATACACTTGTGGTACCATGTAGCTCGGCAGCTGTTCCGCCAGCTTCGCGTCTGCGCTGGCTGGAAAGATGACCCGCGCTATCGAGCCAGCTTTGGCCGCCTCGTCCGTCTGCACTGCTTCGCTCTCTTTACTGTCCAGCTGTAAGAAAGCCGCTAACATTGCGCTAGCCCCTTCTCCTGTCGGCAGGATTACCTCGACTGCCACTTGCTCCGCCGCCGGCATGCACTCTCGCACGTGGTGCGCCACCTCGCCCAGCTCCACTCGCTGCCCGCGCACCTTGACCTGGCTATCCTTGCGGCCCAGGCAGACCAGGTTACCGTCGGCGTTGTACCGAACCAGGTCGCCTGTCTTGTACAGCCTCCCCCGTCGCCCGGCATGGCTGCCACACCCTTCCAGCAGCCAGGCGGGGTCGTCGATGAACGATGCCGCCGTCTTGTCGGCGTCGTTGAGATAGCCGCGCGCCAGGATCGGCCCTTCCACTAGCAGCTCGCCGACCGACCCAAGCGGTGCGAGCCTATGGTGGTTCTCGGGATCGACCACCCAGCTCACCGAGGCGACCGACGTTCCAATAGTACCAGATTTAAAGCTTTGTTTGCCGGTGTACGTATTGCAGCACACTGAGCACTCTGTAGGTCCATATGCGTTAATTGTCTGAACAGTGCTGGGCCATCTGTCCCAGTCTGCAGAGCTGACTTGCTCTCCCCCTAGAACTAGTATCCTAAGAGACGGAAGGAGATCAGAGTCAAATGTTCGTGCTACAGAAGGAGTCAGAAGTGCCCAATTGACGTCCATGACGCTAATCGCCTTAGCTAGATCGCTGCATCGATCGCTGTCAGATGGCACACAGGTGCAGCCACCGTGCACAAGCGTGGTAAAAATCTCAGCAATGGAAGCGTCAAAGGTGTACGACGCGAACTGCAGGACACGCGAGAGGTCTGTGATTCCGAATGCTCGTCCATGGTCCAAGCAGCTCGTCACAACCGCATGATGTTCTAGTACGACGCCCTTGGGTATACCGGTACTTCCCGAAGTAAAGATTACATAGGCGGCATTCGTTGGTTTAGCTGGAAGACTGCTATTGTTGACTAGCGTCGGCAACTGCTTCGTGGATTCTTCGCTGACTGTGACTACAGCGCACTCTGAGCTGGCCCAGAGCATCGCACACTGTGCCGATGCAAGCACCACTTTAGCTCCTATCTGCTTGAAGATGTCTTCATGTCGGCTGGCTGGGTGGTCAGGGTCCAGCGGTACGAAGGCGCCGCCGGCCTTGAGCACGGCCAGCATGGCCACCACTGTCCACATCGACTTCTCGAAGCACAGCGGCACCATGTCTTCAGGCTTGACGCCGATCTGGACAAGGTGACCCGCTAGCTTAGTTGATAGTGCGTCGAGTTCGCTGTATGTCAGCTCGCCGTCCCAAGCGCAGATGGCCGGCGCATTAGGTCGAGCTACTGCTTGCTCGGCAAACAGGTCGTGGACGCAGCGCTCGACTGCCGCCGGCACCTCGCCGTTCCACTCCCATAGCTGCTGTTCGTCTTCGGGCGTCAGTGTGTCGATATCGGCCACCTTTATGTCTGCTTCTGCTGTTGCCAGCTGCTGTGCACCAAGTTGAGCTGCTGCTTGCTCGGTGGATAGTTCGTGGATGCCGCACTCGATGCTCTGCGGCACGTCCCCGTTCCGGTGCCATAATTTTTGGGTCTCGTCGCCCTCCAATGGATGCGTCTGAGGAATCATGTTGTTTGTCTTGTATTCCAAGGCTCTGATAAAGGTAAGAAGGTTTCCTCTTTCTGGATTGTCGTTTGAGTTCAAAGAGGTTTACCTCTGGTGTTTTGTCGTTTCGTTGTTTCGCCGTTTCGCCGTTCTGCGTCTGACGGAGACTGATTCTGTCAAAGGGTAAGTGTTCAGATGCTCTGTTTCTCGCCTGATTTTCCTGATTATTTATTCGATTTCCCGGTCAGAAAGGCGGATGTGCCTGCAGGTAATTTCACGCCGCTTACTAAAAGATGACCCGCGCGTCCCAAATGGACGATGCCTTGTAGCCCCTCAACCTGCGCCGTTCGAGCTGGTCAATGCAGATCTCAACGAATCATCGGCTGCATTGTCATCAAAAGTGTAGACGTCGTCACCTTTACATGCTGTTTGTCTATTCCTCTCAACTAGTTGTCACTGCCAATTCAGTGATCATGAAACCGGCACTTACTCTCTGGCCACACTTCAAAATTCATTGTCAGAGCTCGGTAGCGTGTTATCCAGTTGAAGGCCGCACATTGTACTATCGTGCTCTCTGTACACTCATACTCCAGCTTCTAACCTAAGCGCGTACGTATATGCATAACATGACGAGGGTGGGTTCGCGAAATGTTAGTTCTGAATGTCATGCTACTGCTGTGTTCAATGCATATGCACGTAAGACTGACGACAGTCTATAAGTGATATGCGTTCGGTGACCGCAGCAACTCCATCGTGCAAATGCTCGCTTGCTTGGCATGCCCATTGATCTTGGCATCGAGACTTCCAATCTACCGTCTCTTGTCTATTAGGAACAGTAGCGGACGACACGAGTTTTGCAAAGTGGGGATTAGAGATACTTAGATGACGCCGAGCGTTGAGGGAAGACCATAGGTCCGGCGGACGCGACAGACGAGGCAACGTGCGTCTACGGGCCTGAAATCACAGCATTCAGTCAGTAGGATCACACTATTGAGGTAAGCTGAGGGGCAAATCAAAGATGGTGGTTGAGGAAAACGGCAGATTTTGCCGGGGACAGATGGTCTTGTTCAAGAGATGAAGTGGGGCGGGACGAATCAATGTCTGCACCGCGTCCGCTGTTTCCCACCCCTGTCACTCTGGGCAAAGCTGCGCAGTACACGGCTGAAACCAAGTAAGACTCAATAAATAAATAAATGAATAAAATACATCAACCTCTTGGCTCTTTAGCTCCTGTACCGCTTCGGGAAGTTTTTCCGCAATTTAGAGTATGGTATGGAATCCTTGAGCTGTGATGGTTTTGTATAAGTTAGGCTAGCTCGACGCAGTCAGCATACCCATCAACACACGCAGGGTAGCAGGGCGTAAGGAGGAAGTGGCTGTGCGCCAGTGCCAAGCCGGTATCAGACCTGATTTTTCCATCGTTGCGTGCACGGCCCCGTAGTGCACACCCCAACCAACATTGACGCGTATTTTGCACCCCCTTATCACTCAACACCACGATGCCGCTAGAAGAAGCCCTTGTAAAGCTAGATATTTTAGACCCTAAAGAAAATATCTCGTATAGAAAGCTTGCAGAAAACAACATAGTTGTTGCTGCTCAGCGTTGAGCCGCAGGCACCGTAGTGTATGCAGGACGTGTGAAGCCAAGGCAGAGAACTAGCTGGTTCTCCACCCACGCGATGAAATAGAGGTTGTACAGTACAGTCGTTAGCGACTGCGGCTTCACCCTTATGCGCTGCTGCACAATGATTTTAGATAGCCCCACCTTCCGGATATGGCATAGCGCCGGATATGTGCTGCAAAACAATCGGTATGATTGACCAATCCTCGATCTGATGGTGACTGCACTTTTGGAATGCTGCCTGCAGGGGTGAAGCCGCAATCGCTAACGACTGTACATTGAATCGCTTATAGAGAGACAACTCATATCTACAAGGGAGATTCTTGGAAGAATAATCACATCGTTATGCTAGCGGGCGCAAAGCGATCGATGGGTGTTGCGCTTGCTTCATCGCTACCCCAACGACCTTATTACTGTCTGGTGTGCGCCTGTGGAAAAGCAGCTTCACGAAGCTGCCTCCTATAGTTTCTTTCGCTCATATTTTAAAATGTTACACAGTACAATCAAGCAACATACGATAGGGATAGAGAACACGTATAATATAGATAAGAAAAGCTTTATAATTAGAGTGATGTGAAAGAACGTCCGAATCCTTAATGAGCAGCTCTTTGAACTCTAGAGATTCAAGCTAGCATATCATAATGGTAACGAGAAGTGAGTGACACTGATAGTAGCAGTAGGAGCTGATGGTGTTGCAAATGGTGGTGGGGTGTGCATTACGCGCCGGTGTGCAGTACAAGGCCGTACACGTTAAGTTACGCAAGCAACGCGGCTTACGGTGCTGCAAACCAAGATGGGTGGTAACATTGTGGGTTCAAATAAGACGTTACGACGAGTGCGCTCTTCTTGTAGGCACAGGAGATGTATGTTTGTAGCCCATTCGAGGTACTCATGTCATCTTTCTTCGCAAGCGCCCTGAGCGTCTCTAGGTATTGCTGCGCGTAGGCGCCTTGGTTCTGGCTCTTGAGGTATTGGACCAAGCCACGGGCAGCTACATCATCGCTAGGAGCGTAGTGTCTCACAGGAATGTAGACTTTAACATCGGGGAGTTGAGACCTTGGTGCTACATCAAAGTAGAAGAGCAAGCCTGCCGTCTCGTGCGGGTTGTAGGGGAGCTCTCTGTCTGTAGGGAAGTCGTCAGGCAGGTTTAAGATCAACTTCCAGAGCGTATGGAGCTGCTTCTCGGCTTCCATAACGTCCTTGCGTCGGCCACCGATGGACATAACGCGGCGGACGAGCTCAAAATTGGTGACAAGGGACCGCGAGTACACCTTCAGACGGGAATCGGCAGGACTAACGCAGTCGATACCCAGCATGAAGGGCTTGACAGTCCGACCGTAGACATCGTCACGGAGGAAGCTGTTCAGCTGGTTCATGGCCGCGAGATTGGGGTAACCAGTGGAGACAATGGCCTTTGAGATCTGGTCGCCGGCGCTGTTCCCGTGGGCATCCACAGGGATGAAATAGGCTTTGACGCCCAGAGAACCACCCGTCATCTCAAAAGCTACGAAGAGGGTGGACTGCCTCGTAACCCCAGCTTCGGAGGCGGGGGTACCAGGGCCCAGAAGAGCATGCTTGAAGTGGACGAACCATTCGAGATCGATGCCGATCTGGCCGCTTCTACATAACTGAGCGAGGAAGTCCGAGGTAGCGTTCTTGTTGAGTGGATCCAAGGCCTCCCCGGCGCGGTGGCCGATGGGCTCGATGCTGTAGCGAACCTCGGGCGCGCTATCGCCGAAGCCCCATTTCCAGGAGTACTCGATGGGAGAGTGGTCGTCGGTCATGAAACTCTTCCAAATGGCCTCAGGGCTGATCGGCTTCGGACCTAGGCGAGGAGTCACCCATCGGTAAAAGAAGCTGAGGGCTTTGAGCTGGTCGAGGTCGGAGTAATCAGCGGCGGACAGCAGGACCTCAAGGTGGCCACCCACTACTTCCCACCACCAGTTGCTATCTGGGGTTCGTGGAAAGGGGCCTTCGTCCGTGACTGGAACTGGTACATTGTCGATTAAAGTGGGCTGACTAGCAATCGTGACCATGATGGATGATGGGAGTGTAAAATGTTACTGTATAGGGCCGGAAGAGGTAGCAGCGAGGATGTGTGAGGGATGATATAAAGGAACACTACAACAAATATACAGACAGACGACGGCCCTCGAAACTCCGAGCCGAAGAGGCTCGATATACTCAATCAGACATTAATGCGACCTTCCGACTCGCTTGGTCAAGAAAAACACGTGGAACATGTCTTCATGTGGCGGGCCTCGGCACAAGTTCTAAAATCTGATTGCCTGCCCTCTTCTTTGTTTCATCAATTCCCATGTTACCACCAGTTGCAGCTTATTTGCATTAGGACAACGTCCTAGATGGCTAAGTCAGGTCCTTCCCGTGTCCTTTTAGCCCTAAGGTACATTGTTCATATGACACTGATCATGGTCTAGTCTTAGTCTCACACGTTGCAGAAGCTGACTGTACTTTTCTGGAAGAATTTGCCATTGTGCGTAACTGATACGGATCTACAACAGTCAAATGAACAGCACGTCAGCGCCAAGTCACATTACGCTCTTGGTATAATGGAAAAGCCATATTGAATCCAAGCGAGTGGCCTGATTCTTCTTTTCATTCTCCACATGTTCAAGTTTGATACGTACATATAGTAAGCGTAGCTCTAACTTACCACATCCTGGAATACCTCCAATAATCTTCATAATATAAACCCGGTAAGCACTAACATGGATTCTACGTAGCCTTCCTTTCCCAAGCACTTGGTATAAGCAATAAAACACAATGATGCGTGAGATCACATCTTCCTTCTCGAACAGTAGCGTAACTAGATTGAATTTGGTGCGCAAAACTGTGTCATCGCAGGCTTGCAGCTCAATCGCTCTGCAGCATCTATGCCTCCAACCCCTATTTACCGACTAAGCAAGGGCAGGTGTACTTTGTACGTGTTTCCAACGCGACAGTGTTAGAAGAGGCTGCCGGTGACAAGCTATCGGACATATTATCCATAAGATTTTAGAGAACATCGATGTCACGGCTTTGGCTATGACTTGGGAGGAGGTGGTCCGTTAGAGACCTGCATTGCGGATGCGAAACTTCTCGCACTCTGGCGATTTTTTTAAACAGCCCTGTTAGAGAGTTTGGTGTACGTGAATCTGACGATAGTGCATCAAGGCCGAACATCTGATCTCACTTCCAGCCCCCGGCCAGACGAGTTGGGAGGAGGAGACAGTTGTCTACTGCGCAGCGCTTACGGTTCTGCTTACTCAATACACTAATGCCTTGGAAGCACTCTTTAGTGTGTCGTGAGAGAGCGGGGCGGTCCGCGGCTTAACGGTGCGACGCAAACCGTTATCCCTGTCCGTGTACCGTACGCCCTGCTGAATATTAGCCAAGAGTTACGTGCGCAAGATGCTGCCAGTAACCGAATGTGAACTAACCAGTCTTGGCGAGATCCGCCGCACCGTCGGGGAAGCCGGCTTAGCCACCTGCGAGTTTCAAACCGTGCTCGTGGTATCAACCAATGACTTGGATGCATACCAGCCGTTCGAGTTCAGTCGTACTGCGGCATGGTCGCGCTTATCATCCGCTGTAAATTTGGGAGAAGATTACTAGCCAAGGCTACTCGAGGCGCATACGCTGTCCTAGTCTCACAATGCCACCAGAGCTCGCCTCGTTCCCGGTCAACGGTCTCGAGCACAGACCATCGTCCTATTCTATATCATGGATGGTCCAGGCCTAGAATGAGACTTGGGTCTGACATGAAATCTTCTTATTCATCTTCTCTCAAGAAAGCTCTCTTCGCAAAAAAATTAGGTTTCAGACACCATACTGCACCATGGACCCGAGACAGTCACGGATCACAGAGCTGGCAATAGCCATCAAAAAGCAGACGGAAATACTCCAGTCATTATTGGACAGTCTCAAGGTTGCGACGCCTTCCTTTTCTGTGAACGCCAATCAGGAGCTGCCTCGCAATGCAGCTGTTCAGCTCGCGCAGTCCTCTATCCTCGACTCTTGTACGGAACTGCAGGATTTGGTTGAAGGCCCCCTGGGACATGTTGGGCGAATAATGAGCCCTCGAGTGAGTTTGCGTCTTTGCGTTTTGCAGCGCGTGCTGGATTTGACTGTACACAGGTTCATATCTCGTCAGCCCTGCAAGCTATTGTACATTTCAACATAGCAGGGAAAATCGCAAAACACGAGACTGTTTCATTTGGCGAGATCGCAAAAAGATGCAAAATGGACGTAGATGATGTCAAGCGAATTATGCGATTAGCCATCTCGTACCGAATCTTCAAAGAGTCTCATATCGGATTTGTAAATCACACGGCCAGCTCATTCTTGATTGCTGAAAACCTTCTTGTGAGGCAATGGATTAGTCTTTGCTGTGATGAGTTCATACCAGCGGGTTCGTTCCTTGTTCCTGCCATGAAAAAATGGCCTAGCTCTGAAGAGCCTAACGAGACCGCGTTTGCGCTGCTTCATAAGGGAGATAGTCTATGGGACGTCCTTAAAAAGCAACCTGAAAAAGCTCAGCGCTTCGCGCACGGAATGGAGTACATGCGGACACTCCCACCATTCGACATCAACCATCTGTTTACCTCGTTGAACTGGGAAATCGACTGTGAAACGGTTTTGGTGGACGTGGGCGGTTCTCAAGGCTCCATTGCTGAAGCTTTACTTCGAAGATACCCGCGACTACGATGCTACGTCCAAGACCTTCCAGAGACCCTGAACAAAGCCGTTGTGCCCAAGGATCTCAAGGGTCGTCTTGAGTTCGTAAGCCACAGCATATTCAAAGAGCAGCCTATAAAAGCCGACGTATACTTGCTCAGGTCAATTTTGCACGACTGGTTAGATGGATATGCCCTGCAAATCATCCGGAACCTGATCCCCGCTCTCGAGGTTGGATCCAAGGTGATTATAAATGAGATATGTCTACCGGAGCCAAACGCCATCTCAGCATATGAGGCACAGCTTATTCGGTGGGTTCTGCACATGTCGTTTTCACTTGCCACAGAGACTAATGTCAACAGCGGATACGATCTTTCAATGAAGCAACAATTCAATTCGAAAGAGCGAGATGTGCACGAGTGGGAAACTCTCTTCCGACTTGCAGACAGACGGTTCAAACTAAATCGTATCGTCAACCCACCAGGCTCATTCCTTGCCGTCCTGGAATTTGAATGGCAACCCATGGCACCATAAGATAGGATGAACGAGCACCCTGTTAGATTTCCAGCCAATAGAACTTATTGGGTTTAATGAAAATGCATCACAATATTGAGCAGGTCAGTTGGCTGCCATTACATCTTATGACCCGGTCTGTGTCCTACTTTGGCTCATAGGCTAGCCATAGACCTTCGTATCAATCTTTATACTAGATATTTGGGCATGGTATATGTGTAGCCCTCAATGTCAACATGGATTTCTTCTTCTAAGAATAACAAGTATTATACTGTGCAGAAAGTAGCTCAGGTAAGAGAAAGACCCGTTTTGTAGGCATAGCATAATATCTAATGTAAGGGAAGTCTTAGCACCATTTCTCAAGTGCGCTACTTCACTCAAGTGCGTGCGCGCGTCGGCACACAGAATAGCACTAGGTAAGCTACTACTACTGCCCATTTATCTGTATAGGCTTAATACTTATCAGAAACTTAGCTTAGAACTAGATTTGCAGCTTAAGGAAAAGTAAACTAATTATATCTATTGTAATAGCTGTAGAAGGGTTTGAGTACGTGCAGTCTCAAGTGCACGTTACAACAGGTTTCTTGTAGACTAGATTAGATTAGATTAGATTAGATTCATCCTACTCGGTTTCAGCCGCGTTTTCTCCGCAGCTATGCCCGGCATGGCTGGCATAGCCAACAGCCGACGCCATGCAGACATTAATCCGCGCCGCCCCACATCACTCCCCTATGGGAGCCAGCTGCTCCTAGAGGTCTGCCGTATAGCTTTTTATTCTGTGTGTAGCTCAATATATCATGATAGTTAGACCTGTTTTGCATATGAGGATGGAGTTTGATCGCGAGCTAGCTGTCTTAAGGTTAGAATATATTAAGTCTCTGTGATTGGCGGAGCTTAGCAAGGAGTACCCTAGGTCGACAGGGATCTTTTCAAATCGTCGCTTGCACAAAGGGTGAGGGCGGTTTTGCAACTTACTGTAAACGTCACCCACTCTCGGCCACCTGGCTAAATAGTCTTTAGCCGGCCTCTTCTCTCTAATGCTGTAACGACAAGCTGAGTAGTAATCTTGCCCATTAAGAAGCCAGCTTCGTCAAAGTTGTAGACGTCCTCGTCACAGATGCCGTACTTGGCTCTAGTCTACTCTACAAGCTTAAACCAACTCTTAATCAAGACTGGATCTTCACACAGAGCTCTCTACCTATCGTATGTCCAATTAAAACGCGTCGTAAGACTGTCTGTATGTTTGACGAAGGTAGACGGCCAGTTAACTCCAACACGTCCTCCACCACGCGCAGCCAACAGCCTATCGGCCATATCGCGCACGGCTGCATACGTAGGCGCGAATCCACGCTAATCTAGATTAAGTATGTGGCTCACAATCACCTCTTCTTCTAGCTAGGTCAGCTTCTTTGAGTTGGGTTGGCAATCGCGTCGCGCAGGGACACCAGCGCGTCGGCGGCGGATCGTTCGTTCAGACACGCTATAGATAGCAGCAGCACTCCAATTGCTTAGAATTTAGTTAGAATCAATTGAGGAGATAGCAAGCTAGATATCTGATTCATTTGAAGCTAATACAGTAGCGCTGCGTTGAGCCATTGTATGATAAGATAGGAGAGGTGTGCAAGTTTGGTGGGGTGCGGCGCTCGCCCGTGGAACACGTTAACGATTCTACTAAACTTGCTAACGGTATAAGCATTCGACATTGGCATGTTTTTGTTTTGCGTCACATTAACTTATGCTGGTTCGTTGAACTGTTCTCTGCCACTGTTCCGATGAAGAAAAGTGGAGAAGTTCCAGTACCACGTTTGACATGATTGAAGATTGGCAAAACATGTTTCTTCTCTAACCTAGGAAGACTTTGCTAACTCTACCATATGACAATTCCAGAGATGCTGCAACTGTTCAGAGCATTGCAGTGTGGTTGCCTATTAAGCATTGCATACACTGCCACAACGTGGGAGAACGTAGAATCTGCATGAGCTTTCAACGGTACACAGGATTTCATAACATTTGGGGAATTAAGAGCATAGTCCCGCGATAGGAGACCCGACACCAGGGTACACGAAGAGAGTGGGGTATTCAGGCGCCTAAGATCGACATCAATTTGATTAAGGCGCTTATTATAGGCCATATTTCTTACGCGAAGCTTGTCTGTTCATGTCACAACTTTGACGCTGACCGTAACGCTAACGCTAATGCAACAAGTCGCTGACTAGTTTGTTGTTTGGGTGAGAAGTGGATTCGTGAAGCCAACTATGCATGCCCACTAGAATTACGGAACACTACCGTAGTCTCTCTGTCTAAATCCTGGGATTACGCAGCCTATTTGAGTCACCTTCAACGTCTTGTCTCTTAGAGCATCACTTGAGATTATCTTGACTGCGAACTGTGGTGGCTGTGTAAAAATAGAAGGGTGATAAGCTATTGTACGTGTTCCTATGCCAAACCTATCCGAGTAGCAGTTTGTTGGAAACTGAGGTAGAGTAAGACTACTAGCTTATTTATTGCGTGGTGCGTAACTGTAGCTTCGGTACGTGACTAATGTACTACTAGCCAGAGTTAGAAGCTTAAGTTGAAGTCAGTTATTGTGTAGTTCGCACGTTGGAGATCGTGCGGCTTCTACCGGGAATTGTAGATCCTGTAACTCGATACGGATAATGTCTAGTATTTGCTGGCTTTCATGGTTCATAGACATTTTGCCAGGTGAATTACCCGAAAGACTGCAATCTGGCCGTAGCAAAAGAACAGTACTGAAGTCACACACGCCTGCCACAACATGACCGCATTTCTCTACCAAAGATAAGGGAAGAAATGCTGAGTAATCAAAGTTGTCTCTTAGGATGGGGCGAAAGTTGACGTGTACACAGGGCTGGCCTTTGGTAGTCCATCCTTGCAGCGATATTTCCCCCACACAGTACGCATACTTTGCAGCCGCTGGGCGTGGTGCTGTTCAGGCCCACTTAATCGCGACAAGATCCTCCACAAATTCAAGCCCAAGGAGCCAGAGGTTACAGAAGCTCCCGCTACTCCTCCGGCGCAGCTGGAAGGTACAGGCTGCCGCCAAATTATCGCTCAATTCGACCCTGTGGTGAAGAATAAGAAGCTCCCCGAGGCGAAGACCCTTCGGTAAACCATACACCACTTGGCTATCCAAAATGAGCTGCTCCATAATGAGAATCAGGGTCTAGTTGAGGCTCTACAGGCTAATAAGAAGCAGAATAAGAAGAGCAAAGCACTCGATTTGAACAAGCATAAGCTGGACTACTGGGGTGGCACACAATGGCACTCGCCTCGACAGTTCGGTGAAGCTCGCAGGCGCGAGCGCATCATGAAGGAAAAAGCACATGCAGATGAGCTTAAAGAGGCTGAGAAGAATAATTTGAAGCATGCCAATAAGCTCTACAACGACAAGATAGCTGAAGAGAAGAAGGCGCAGCGTGCAAGAGACTAAGAGAAGCGGAGGGAGGAGAGCGAGCAAGAACGCCGCGAGATCGATGCACGCAAGGAGCAGCGACGCCTCAACAAGGAGCAGAAAAACCGTGAGAAAGCTCTGCAATCACCCCAAAGGAGTAAGCGCAAGGTATTACAGTCTACAGCACCTAGAAAGAAGCAGAATCGTGGTGCTGCGCGTGCCCGTAGTGGTGTTATTGCACCTGAGCCTGCACGGCAGCCGCGCACCCACAAGACTCGCAGCGGCAGAATCGCAACACTTTACAATTAATTTAAAGCTGGAGACTTTGTCGCATAGGTCTATAGAACACTCCACCAGAAAAACTTGTGATAATAGCTATTGTGTGTGGCTCTACAGCCTCAAGTTTGAGTGGGTGATCATGAGGCCTCGCGTGCATCACGGGGTGGGGCACGGAAAGGTAGCGCCTTCCCAACGGCCCTGAGCAGCTTCCGCATCTCGTCAGTTTCTCGATACGAATTTCCCATTGCCATCTGTTGTTGTGTGGAGATTTCCGAGGACTTGCCATATCCAACCGCTATCGGCTAAGCGGCATGGTCATTTAATTGGATCGGCAATTACTTCTCTAGCTTGCGCCTTCTCCATATCCTCACAAGGTTACTCGGCTCCACCTAACATCATCTTTATATCATGTCTGTATCATGTTCGCGGTTGCTCACATCATATTGGGTTGCATTTTGTGCGTGTCGTAACTAACAGTATACTGCCCCCCCCCAAAAAAAAAAAACATCTAACAATATCGACGAGCCCGAACGGCCCGTGTATTGCTTACCGAGAGGATATGTCAGTCTTATGTTTAGATCATGCTTTACTTACTCAGTGACATCCGCGGAGGAACAAATTCAGTCGCTTGCTTATTACGGAGCTAGTCTCCTATTCAAGATCTCGATCTCGTGGCTGAGATGTCAACGTATAAGAGGGTCGGACGTATCTAGTCTAGCAGAATGCCGCCAAATCATCTTCCTACCCATTTCGCTCCACCAGCTTGGGGTTGCATGGACCATATTAGACGCGGACCCATTCTCAGTCAGCCAATTCACCGGCAATCTTTGGGTGAACCTGCCTGCACTTGTCTCTGAAAACGCCTGCTATTTCCTAGCTTCTTTGAGGATTACAGCTCGTTCATTCGCTCCTAGAGGCATTTAGTCAACGGTACGTACGCTCATTCTAGTCTAATCAGTAGCGCCCTTGTGCACTTTACCTACCTTTCATCATTCTAGTAGCCTCTAAGATATATCCTCTCACAATATTTCTTCTGCCGCTTCACGATGTCGTCGCTATTGCTGGCGCGTCCGTTTAGACGGATTTAATTACTTATAGTGCCAGTTGTTATACTTCTTAACCCTGCGGCGTATCCGAAATCACGAACACCTTTTGTTAACATTTGAACATAGTGCTTCCCCCCATGTTCCTCCCTTCTATTGATGGAGGTGTCTCCAGATACATGAATAGCCACTAGGTCCATCTAATCACCGTAGCCAGGACTACTAAATGGCCATTTTTCTGGCGTACTAACCTTTCAACCATAGTACTTAACCTTTATTATCTTCAACCTTTACGCACGTTCTATCATGACCAACTTAGCAGAAGAATTGCAGCGATTAGGGCTGTTAGAATATTTGGATGTTCTTGTGGCCGAAGGTTTCGATACCTGGGAAACGGTGTCAGATATAGCAGAATCAGACTTGTGAGTCGCTGTGGCATTGCTCAGCAGAAAGGAAATTTACATATACAGTAGAAACTCCCTCAATGTCAAGATTGGTCATCGAAGGGTATATGCAGCAATCCTTTTAACAATGTCACCGCGCTAATTTACCTATTAACAGAAACTTCAGCGGGCGATTGCCGAATCGCGCAGTCCGGTCTACAATCACCGCCCTCCAATCGCTCGCACCAAACGAAAGTATGCGCGACATCCTAAGGTCCGTGTTGCCAGGCACGCCATTCTCACTTCCTTTCTCACGGTCAGGCAAACTACTGATGTATTACTAACCTTACCTAGTCAGACGAGCATGCACCCGGGCGACCTCTATCTGCCTATGTAATTTTCGCTAACCGTTGGTGGCTCTTCTTCCCTATCCACGTTTTGGAACTAACAAAAGATAGATGTAAGGGAGTCTCTGGAGGGCCAAGGATTATCTTTCACAGAGATTGCGAAAGTTGTTGGTAAACGGTGGCAAGTTTTACCAGCAGAGGCTCGAGAAGCCTATCAATGTCAAGCCAAGGTCGGAAAAGAGAAATACCACGCAGAACTAGCAGAGTACAAAGGATCTCCCAAGTACGATGCTTATCAAAAGTACCTGAAGGGGTTCAAGGCGAAACACGCAGCACCATACAATCGTTCGTTGGGTAGCCTCTTGTTGTTAATGTTTTACTAACATTAGATAACAGGTGCGGAAAGGATACGTTCCAGGTTAGAAACCCACATAAGGACTGTGGCGCCAAGCAGTACCCATGAATACGGCGACCGACGGGCAAAGAAAGAGCCCAGCTCAGTGGAACTGAGTTCTTATATAGCGGAGCACGACCAGGAGGGGCCAAGCCCGATCCTGAGTCTTCCACGGCTTTCTGGATATTCCTCCTCATCAAGACCAACATCTCCAACAGCTCATTCTCGAAACGAAACGAACTCGGCTTGCCCAGAAGATTCCAGCTCACTTGTGTTAACATCGTTAGGGTCTGCAGTTCTCTATCGAGAAGGACTTTATGATCTCCGCTCTACTGCTGCGGCGCATAACCCTTGGAAGCAGAGTTCGGATTTTAGTATCCCGATCCGTTCTTCGTCCTTCATATATCAACCTGGGAACATATCAACTACATTTCCTCCACTCTCCTATACTTTGCAATACGACGATCCTATCAATTCTTCCCTAAATCGACCGTTTCGGGAGTTTACATGGCTACCATCCATTACTCACGAAGGCAGGATTCTCTCACCTGGGGAAGACCGCGTATAAGACCGTGCGGATGATGTGGGATCTTCAGCCTGCTTGAAAAACACCCACAGTCATCCCGGGCTTCACTGCAACCAATGCAAAGTCTCAAACCGAATCTGCCCCCCCTCGATCAACCTTTCTAGGCTCCTTCTCCAAGATAGCAAGCTCAAGAACCCCATGACTTTTCCTTCGGAGTACTAGTAAGAGCTGGTGAATTGGCCGGAATCACTGACGCCGCAGTTATGGAGAAGAACGGCTCTCTTTAAGCTTTGTTTGCTCAAGATCCGTTCGCATAGGATGTTTAGCGGTGAATAGAGAAACCTCTCGGATGGTTTCCAGGCCTGGGATCAATCCATGACACAACGGCGCTCATTTAGGCATCGATCGGGATAAAGTGGTGTCAAAATGTGGCCGATTGCATTGTGCGGCTTGCTATCGGAAGATATGAACGGCCTCGTTCTTACTAGATGGAAATGGAGACCTACGGATCGCAAGGTGCTACTAATGGAGTATACTGCACAAGAGAAAAGAGGTAAGCCAATAGATCCTAGACAAGTATCGGACTCAGTGGAAGCCTCAGAATAACCCTCGGTTAGAGAGGATTGCGGATACCTAGGGGCCACCGTTTAACAATGCGTCGGAGGCGCCAGAGTGTCCCTTTATGTCACCACAGTATTCTGCATGCCAAACTCTCAAGGCACGGAACATCATGCGATTGATTGGGCACTAGAGATGTGCATGCCAGCCGGAAGAGCCAGAAACAACTGTTCCCTGGCGAAATGCTTCAAATCAGCATATCTATAGCCTCAACAGATGCCGAGCCTTGCTCTGCGTTATTCAATTTCATTTGGCGAATTTGAACAGTGCGCGCCGAAAATTCGGCATACAACTATCTTGTATTAAAACATCTATCAGCAAAATTTATTAGAATTGCGCAGACATTAGCCCGCCGACCCGCTCTTCAAACTCCCGTTTCTACGCCGGCATCACCGACTTCGGCCTTTTCAGCGTCATAGTGAAGACTTCAATAATAACACCTGCTCTTGTATGCACTCTGCAGTCGTTCAAGGCGCTGTCTGGGACTTTTAGCGGAAGTCCTGAAGCGCGGTGAAGCTCGACGTTTAGCCTGATCTTCTTCGCTTCCTCCGCAACGCGCATTCAACGGGCGAGAGGTTCTAGTATTGACAAACTAGGCTTGGTTGCAGCATTGATACTAACAATCAAACATCTTACCTTGATAGGCTCTGACGATTCGGCCAGATGCCTTTCCTCAATTGACGGCTATAATAGCCTGCTGTGCATTGCACCATAGGGAGAACTGAGATTATTCAATGCCCAAATGATAGCCCTTTTCGGCCCATGCGCATCAGAATGCAAGTACTTTTTGCGGGTGCTTGCTTTCCTTGGTCATTGGGAATACAGACTGATCCTTGAGGCGACCAGAGAAGGAGGGCATATCCCTTGCCAAAGTGGAGTTGACCTGAGTAGTTTTCACTCCATAAGATGGTAGAGGTTCTGACTGCGGGTAGCCATCCATAGTGGCTATCGCCCTCTGGAGTTTGCGACGGTGACCGAGTTTGAAGCCAAGGCGGTCCAAGTCCTCCTCTTTTACCGTCATTAGCTGCCTCCACGACACAGACCCTTCCTCTTCAGGCTGTCTTAGTTTTCCCTGAGGGCTCCGTAACCACTGGACCTGGAAGTTGCGGCCCATGTAGCCTGTTTCACTTGCGTCTTCGTTTTGTAGTTGATCTCCCTCTAAGAAATCTAGTTCTTCGATGGATCCAACTGACGCTGCGGTCTGAGCTTCTCCAGAGTTGGGACTGTTATCATCCTGTTCATTAAAATATGATGCCCGCCTTAGTCGTTTACCAATTGACTTTATCGGCACGGAAGGCGTAAGAGGTGTGTCGTCCTTAAAATCTTTGAGAGCGTCCTCGATTCTCTTCCTGCTTGTCTCAAGATCGACGCTAACACCGTTTAATAGCGTGGTCAAGGTCTGGTTCCTCTGTAACGCCCTGTGCAAAGTAAGACAACGTAGATAATAATAATTAGATCAACAAACTCTTTCAAGCGATCCCTGCGCTTTTCATCGTAAGAACATTTCAAATCCTGCATCCCGCCGTCGATGCAGCGCGGTCTGGTCCCAGAGCATTTCGTTTCTGCACATGTTAGCTCGCACAGAATGTCCACACGAAGCCACTGGCAGGTCAGGACGCAAGGATTATTAGTTTAAAGATTATACACACTGCGCTTCCGGCATCTATTGCACTACACGTTCAATCAGCGTTATGATGCTGACTCGTGGAAGTACGGTACTTACTGCCTTATCCACTGTCTCGGAACGAATACGGGAGGCTTCGGGAGAACAGTCTGCTGATCAGGCCGCCTAAGCAGAGGGGTGGCTACTCTGGCGCCGGGTCTACTCCTGCTCTCCATTGATGGCAAGCACCTTTAGAGGTGGCTCGAGTCGGTTGGGCGGAGCTCGCGTAATGATTTAATAGAAGCAGATACCGGGGTGCAGCGCTCACAGGTTTTTATGACGAATTATTGCAGAGAGATGACGTAACGGATTGGAGGCGAAAGTGGCAAACCTTGATCCGGCCGATTAAGCATTCAACCAATCAATCTCGCTGCGTCTGCCGCGCCACGAACCTCTACTATCAGCGCCAGTTTCAGAATCCTACATGTGTACCACTCCGCTTCGCAGCATCGGCAACTGCCATGGTACTCTATTGTCACCAACGTTATTTCTCTTTCGAATATTAACTTTTTCCTTGCTCCTACAGGGGCCTTTTGCTGCACCTTTATGATCCCATGAATATGCGTTCCTTCTGGTGAAGCATGACCCTTTAGTCAACTGCTCTAGGTCGTTGACATCGTAATGTCCATCCACTTGTAACGGAACAACCGCCGTAACGAAACAACATCCTCTTCTTTGCTACGTAGAAAGTGCTAACGCGATCGTATAAGAGTATATAATGTGAATTAACAGTTTAGCTAGTCTCACATACCTTATCCCATCCAAAGTCGAAAATTACAGCATTCTTGAGCTTGTTGTCAAAGGTTCTGTTCGCGACGATTATTCGCGTCTCCGCTGTTTGCCCCTGCTAGGTCGCAAAAGATAGCACATTCTAGTGTTTCGGAACTATAGCGCGAATGCTCTATCAAGAAGGTCCTCGATCTGAAGCTCTAATGGCATATCGCATCTGTGGTGAAAAATTCAAGAGTATCTCCGATCGAGAGAGGGATTGGCACAGAGCTTGGCAAGCGTGCTAAGTCAGCATGTAATAAAAAACGCGCCATCCTCTATATGGTTTCCACACCTGTCTCGTGCTATTTTTAACTCACGTTTGTCCGCCGCAGCGAGCCGTTCATGTTCGCGCTGTGCGCCATGCATCAACATCACCACAGTAAGTAGTTAGAGCAGGAGGCAGAGGCCACTACAGACAAGGGAACACATAAGAAACCTAAACGTGCACAGGAGGCTGAAGAAGCCTTGGCGCTGCAGGTAAGCGTAACATACGTTGCAGAAGAGAGTGTACCGCAACCTTATAGAGCCCCGGTCGCGCGCATGTGGTAGCAGAGGTTGACATTAGGAGGTTATTCGCTCAGACTTAAGCCCTGTGTGACCTGTATACCTGTAGCAATGTCTATCCTGCGTTCTGTAATTAAGAAACCCCTCACGGAGATTCAATGTCATCTGCGCACTTCACTACTCGTCTCGCGCTAGACGTGGATTACTTCATGGCTACAGCCTTGTGTCCGACATTCAGGTGCATGCACTCAGCCATGCCTACCCCGCCTAAGCTGTGATGCGACACCCTCATCACACTTCACAGCAGCGAGCGCCCGCCTTAGCTTAGAATGCGATCGCAGTCTGCAGCTCTGTGATGCGATAGTACAGTACGGTGTACCCCTGTGCTTCCTTTTCCTATCGCTAATGCTTAGGGTGCGAAGGCCCTGCTAGACAGTCTCGTCGCCGCACGCTCTTGCTACTAGGCTGTCGCGTTGAACCTCCCGCGTTGTTCCTGCTACATGCCCCGACCCTGCACCCGTACAAAGCGATGCGTCTTCTCAAGTATGGAGAAAAAGAAGACCTTTCTATCGCCGAGTTTAATGAAGACACAAAGCCGCCGTATGCGATACTTTCCCATAGGTGGGGAACGGAAGCGGACGAGGTAACCTTCGAAGACGTGGTAGGGAACACGGGCAAGAACAAGCCTGGCTATGCGAAAATTCGCCTCTGCGGGGAACAAGCACAGCGAGATGGCTTGCAGTACTTCTGGGTCGATACTTGCTGCATCAACAAGGCAAATAAGGCTGAGCTGTCGCTGGCTATTCAATCTATGTTTCGCTGGTACCGCGACGCAGCGCGATGCTACGCCTACCTGTCAGACGTCTGCTTATCGTCTTCTGAAGCGGATACGACATTAGAGGCGCCGGCCTGGGAAGCAGACTTCCGCAGAAGTGAGTGGTTCGTCCGCGGCTGGACGCTCCAGGAGCTTCTCGCACCAAGCTCGGTCGATTTCTTCACACGAGATTGGGAGAAGCTCGGTGACAGGAGATCACTAGGGCATCAGGTCCACGAGGTCACTGGCATTCCGCATTTAGCGCTGCATGGAGCTGCGTTATCTCAATTTAGCATCAACGAGCGGTTGCGGTGGGGTGAATATCGGCATACCACACGTCCAGAAGACAAAGCATACTCACTATTAGGCATTGTCGATGTTGACTTGGCACCATGCTATGGCGAAGGTCTGGATGGAGCGTTTAGGCGACTTCACGACGAGATCGATAAGACAAAACGATGCATCCAAGACTTACGCGACACAGACTCGCGTGACGACAAGAAGCGCATTGAGGATACGAAGGGCGGGTTGCTGAAAGACTCGTACTGTTGGGTCCTTCACAACAATACTTTCCGACAATGGCACGAAGACCCGCAGAGCCGACTGTTATGGATTAAGGGTGACCCTGGCAAGGGCAAGACGATGCTGCTCTGTGGTATTATCGACGAGCTGCAAAGTTCGATGCCTACTGTCATACTTCTTCTGTCAAGCGACCGATGGGCGCATTAATAGCGCCACGGCCGTGCTACGAGGGCTGTTGTACATGCTCGTGAGCCAGCAACCATCGCTTGCATTGCACGTCCGCAAAAAGTACGATCACGCGGACAAGACCATGTTCGAGGATGCAAACGCGTGGGTTGCCCTGGCAAAGATCTTCACGGACGTGCTGCGGGATCCGAGCTTGACCACTACGTACCTGATCGTCGACGCGCTAGACGAGTGCGTCACTGACCTGCCAAAGCTGCTTGACTTTATCGCAAAGCAGTCGTCTGCCTCTTCTCGCGTCAAGTGGATCGTCTCTAGCCGTAGCTGGCCAGAGATAGAGGGACGCCTAGAGCAGACAGGCCACAAGCTCAGGCTGAGCCTTGAGCTAAATGCAGCATCTGTGTCGATGGCGGTCCAAGTCTTTATCGATCAAAGAGTCTCTGAGCTCGCGCAGCAGAACAAGTACGACGAGCGGACTAAGCGCGCTGTACTCGAGCATCTAGCATCAAATGCGAACGACACCTTCCTCTGGGTGGCGCTGGTGTGTCAGCACCTTCGAGCGACGGCAAAGCGAAACGTTCTGAGGAAGCTAGAATTGTTCCCGCCTGGACTGAACGCCCTGTACGAGCGGATGATGCAGCAAATTAGCAAGATAGACGATGCCGAGCTCTGCAAGCAGGTGCTAGCTGCGGTCGCACTTGTGTATCGGCCAATCACGCTCGAGGAGCTGGTGACCCTTGTCGAACCGCTTGAAGACGTAGCCGACGACTCAGAATTACAGGAGATCATTGGCCTTTGCGGCTCGTTCCTCACTCTACGAGGGCAGACCGTGTACTTCGTGCACCAGTCAGCCAAGGACTTTCTCCTTACCGAGGCAGCGCAAGACGTTTTCCCAGTCGGACTGGAGGCCGCCCATCAGGCCATCTTCGCTAGATCACTTCAAATCATGTTCACGACCCTGCGACGGGACATGTATAGCCTTAAAGCGCTAGGCACACCTATAAACGACGTTAAAATGCCTAAGCCAGACCCGCTAGCAGCGTTGCGTTACTCGTGTGTTCACTGGGTTGACCATCTGTGCGACTCGAGCCCTACAGCTTCCGCAACCTATGCAGAATGTCTGCGAGATAGAGGCGTTGTAGATAGATTCCTAAGGGAAAAGTTTCTGTATTGGCTGGAGTCTCTCAGCCTTTGCAAGAGTATGTCGAAAGGCGTAGTCTCGATGAAGGAGGTACAGATGTTAGTGCAGGTGTGTCCACAACAAGTGACCTGCAAGACATCCTTTATACTGACAGTAGTTAGGGACAGGGGAAGACAACCTTATTTACTTAGCTTGTGTACGATGCATATCGATTTGTTATGTACCACAAACAAGTAATTGAAAGTAGTCCCCTTCAGGCATATGGATCTGCGCTGTTGTTTAGTCCAAAGCAGAGTTTAGTGAGGAGACTGTTTCAGCACGAAGACCCAAAGGGTATCATACTTAATCCAGGCATGAGCAACGGGTGGAGCGCGTGCCTGCAGACGCTCGAGGGTCATAGCGAGGTGGTCACCTCCGTGGCCTTCTCGCACGACTCGACGCGGCTAGCCTCAGCGTCATGGGATAGGACTATCAAGATATGGGATGCGAGCAGTGGTGCGTGTATACAGACGCTTGAGGGCCATAGCGAGGCAGTCGCCTCTGTGGCCTTCTCACATGACTCGATGCGGCTAGTCTCAGCGTCGTGGGACAGCACTATCAGGATATGGGATGCGAGCAGTGGCGCATGTCTGCAGACGCTTGAGGGTCATAATAATCGGGTCAGCTCCGTGGCCTTCTCACACGACTCGATGCGGCTAGTCTCAGCGTCTAACGACAGCGCTGTTAAGATATGGGATACGAACAGCGGTGCGTGCCTGAAGACGCTTAAGGACTATAGCAGTGGTGTTATCTCTGTGGCCTTCTCGCACGACTCGACCCGGCTGGCATCTGCGTCTGATAACACTGTTAAGATCTGGGATGCGAGCAGCGGCGCGTGCCTGCAGACGCTCGAGGGCTATAGCGAGCGGGTTAGCTTAGTAGCGTTCTCGCACGACTTAACACGGCTAGTGTTAGCGTCGGGGGATAACACTGTTAAGATATGGGATGTGCGCAATGATAAGCACGTGCAGACGCCTAGAGGTTATAGCAATGATGTTAATTTAATGACCTTCTCACATGACTCGACACAGCTAGCATCTGGGTTAAAGGACTGCACTATTAAGATCTGGGATGCGAGCAGCGGTGCGTGCCTTTAGACGCTCAAGGGCCATGATAGCCGGGACAGCTTAGTGGCCTTCTTACACGACTCGACACGGCTAGTATCTGGGTTAAAGGACTGTACTATTAAGATCTGGGATGCGAGCAACGGCGCCTGCCTGCAGATGCTTAAGGGGCATAACGATTATGTCACGTCAGTAGCCTTCTCGCACGACTCAGCGCAGCTGGCGTCTACTTCGTAGGATTAGACTGTGAAGATATAGAATATTAATAGTAGCGGGTGCCTACAGACACTTAAGAGCCATTATAGACTAGTTAACTTAGTAGCCTTCTCGCACGACTCGGCCTAGCTAGCGTCAGTGTCGCGTAACAACACCGTCAAGATCTAGGATACGAGCAGCGGCGCGTGCCTACGGACGCTCAAGAGTCATAGCGAGTAGATTAGCTCAGTAGCCCTCTCGCACGACTCAACACGGCTAGCGTCAGCGTCATACAACAACAGGGTCAAGATCTAGGATATAAGCAGCGGCACGTGCCTACAAACCTTAAACACTAGCAGGAAACTATCTAAGTTATCCTTCAATCCCACTAGCTCTTGTCTCTACACTAAGATAGGTACTATCGTTATTCGGAACTCAGAAGTTTCTACTAGCATAGAAGTTATTGCAGAACCTCAACGCCCTACGTATCTAGGCCCAGGTCTTAGTCCAGACAGCATATAGATCAAGCATGCTAGCAACAACATCCTAAGAGTACCATCAGAGTATCGACCATCATACTCGTCTATGTGCGGGACTTTAGTTAGTATAGATACTAGATCTAGAAGAGTATAGACTTACAGGATCGACCTTTAATGTCTTCAATAAGCAAGCATTTATTCGTCTTTTCTATACCTTATCTTATTTTTATCTCTATTTTTAGGAAGGGAACGAGGATATAAACGGATAGATAAGTTAGACTATATATCGCTACGTCTAAGCATCAAGAACCTACGAGGGAGCGGCTGTCGCTGTGTAGTATTACAGAAACGAATTCTAGGCATGTAATGCTCCCTTTTGCCTCTTGAGTTAGTATTATCACTATATACCACCGCGCTCGTTTTCTAGGTCGATATTAGTAGTGATAAGGGCGGTAAAGAACATCGAGCGAGCAGCCAACGACGATCTCGCACGTTTAGATTCTAAGTATAGCTACGAGATAGATATAAGCCTAGGCAGAAGCTTTAAGAAGTATATACTATAGCATAAGCTGTTTCGGCATAGTGTAGTGTATATAATTGATTAATTAATTTAGTCCTACTTAGTTTTAGTCGCGTTTTCTCCGCAGCTATGCCCAGCATAGCTAGCGTAGCCAACAGCCAACGCCGCGCAGACGTTAATCCGCGCCGCCCCACGTCACTCCCCTATAGGAGCCAGCTGTTCCTAGAGGCCTGCTGTTTCCCCTCTACTACTATCTACAATCTGGCTGCTACCTTATCTAGATAATAGTACTACTAATAGTAACTATACTATACTTATAGGCTCGTAGAGGCGTGCTACCTTATATTTATAGCCGCGATACCTACAGTCTTCCCCTAGCGCTCAGCTCTCGTCTACGCGTCTTCAATCCTAATATGCCTAAGGATCTGCGCTTATTCTACAAACTAGATAGCTTTAGTAGCTAGCTATAGCTTACTTAGGATAGCCTAGAGGTTATATTATCCTTTAAGGTTATTAAATACCTAGTTCTGGAGGTCCTTAAGCATTCTATAGTAGAGTAGAATATAGGCGATAGTCTGTCGTCTCTCCCCGCACTAGCAGCGGGAGCTAGTAACACCTAGCACTCTTTAGGTAAAGAGAAAGTTGTGCAGGCCTATCTTCTTAGTACGCAGCTATACTAGCAGCGCACTTTATTATTTAGTAAGGCCTTTATATATCTAGAGTACTTTCTTAGTAGGCTACGCTGTATGTCTATATGTTGCTCGACCTTTCGCCTCTACTCGCCACTTAGCTGCTTATGCTCGCTCTATTTAAGTCCTGCACTAGCGCCTAACGGTCGACCTAATTAGATAAAGCCTAAGCGGCGCATCTACTAGCGGGTGTCTACGGCTATCCTCTCTCTATCCTGTAGCCTACTTAGTATTAAGTATTATATTAACCCTAGAGGCTTGTTACTATACGCGACTACCTAATAACTAAGTAAGATATAGAGTATATAAGGGACGTGCATAGGCTTTCTAGCGGGAAGTAGTAATTACTTTAATTAGTTAGCCTAGAGTAGAAGTACCGACAGGGGTTGAGACTTCCTATAAACATAACGCTACACCTAACTAAATAGTATACTAGAAATCCTTAGTAATGTTATTAAGTTACTAAGCTTATATAAAGGCGTTTTATAGATTATAACGTTAGTAGAGGTTATACGGTGGCTCTGTAGTAGGTAAGGCTTATTTTTACTATAAAGATAGACTCTTTGCGCATAGAATTAGAAGGCGTCTATATAAGTATAATTTTTATAGTATTAAAATCCTAGAAGTTTAGAAGTAACCTTAGTATAATACTAAAGAGAAATTTTAATAGAAATAAGACGTGTGTAAGCTTTCTATTATATTAAAATTAAAGTACTTATATTTTATTCTGTTACGGTATTATACGGGGGTTCGCTATACTTACCTAGTCTTAGTCTAGATTAGGGTAAGACTTATATAAAGTATTCTATATAATTATTTTCTAGCGATTTATAGTAGAGAAGAGTTATAAGAGTAACTAATAATAAATAATAATTAATTCTATATATAATAAAATAAGTATTAATCTATATAAGAGAAGAACTTATAAGAGTTAACTATAATAAGTATAATAATAAAATCTAACCTACTCTTATACCTATTACTTCTAGTCCTAGTATTAGATAATCCTCTAGAAGTTACTAACTCTAAGGCTTACCTATAAGGCTATGTCCTTATATAAACGGGGTAGTATTACTAATACTATAGTCTTAGCGTAATTCTAATCACGTGATCGCCGCTCTATAGTAATTATTACCTTTTAACGTAGCGCCTAATAGTCTTAAACCTACAGCCTTTATCTAGAAGAGATTCTTTACTATTACTTATAATATATAGCTATTATTCTATTACGCGTAGATAAACGTTATATAAGAATATAAGATTAAACTAGATAGTATAGAGAAGTAGAATATTAAATTATATTACTAAAAATCTATCCTAACTAGATTAGATACTATAAGAAACTACTGCGTTAACGGTTAAAGCAGTAGTAGAAGCGGTTAATCTTAATTATAGAAAAGATATATTAAAGGTTATATAAGTTCTTAAGACTATTAGATTATTTATAGAGTAATAAAGATAAATTAAGTCTATTAAGTAGTAAAGTTATATAATTAGTAAGGAGAAGTAAGGAAATAGAACGATCCTAAGTCTAAAATGCTAGTCTACTAATAGTATCCTAACTAGTTATTTAGTTCTTTAGACTTTTTATTATTAGGATAATTACCTGTATCTCTATCCTTTTCCTAGTAATGTACCTATATCTTTAACCTTCTTAGAGGGCCTAGGTATAAAGGATTAGCCGTATAAAAATCTTAGAGAATAAATATATCTATTCTAACCTTTATGCCAAAGTTACTAGACCGCTCGTTATCAACTTGGAGGAATAATTTTATACAACTATTCAACCAAGTTACTAGACGCTTCAAGCCTAATGACTT